CTTACCGACTATAAACAAGCGCTTCTTGGGAGGCAACCCAAGTGTTTTAAATTTTTGTTCTTCTATTTTTATTTCAGTGTGTTTGATGTTTTGATGAATTTTAATGAATTTTAATTTGTGTTTTTGGGTGTTTCAGGTGAAGTTTTCAGCTAATACAAGGAAGGAAAATGCTCCAGACTTGGCCGGGGCGAAGAAGTATTCTTTGCCACGGCAAAGCATGTTTTCTATATAAACTCACTTTGGCTTTTCATTTTCCACGCGTTTTTTCAAATACAGTTGAGAGAAAAATTTTCCAATTTCAATCCTTTGCCTCCCAAGTGTTTTCCCAACTAAAGTTTTCACTCCTTAACCCTCCTAAACACCAAAACAACTCATTTCAACAACAAATTTTTCAAAAATTTCACGAAAATTTCAAGTTCAAGAAATTTGGGGCTTTCCAATCTGGGCTGATTCTGAGTAAATTGGTGGTGCATAATCCTTCATATTGGTAAGATATCAAGTTCCCTAAACTCATTTTTGCAAAATTTCAAGTTTTAAGTTGTAGATCTGAAAAATTTATTTTTGGTTGAGTTGCGAATTTTGTGAGTTCGATTTTGTTGAAGAAGGGTTTATTGTGCGTGTTGTGATTTTGAGGAGTGTGGGTTTTGAGTTTTGGAGTGTGTTGTTGAATTCGGAGAAATCGTAGTTTGGGGGTCTGATTGTGAATTTTTGGAAGTGTTTTCAATTTTCTTTTTCAGGTTTAAATTGGTTGTTGTGGGGAACCTAGGCTTGAATTTTTGGGTTGCGCTGTGAATTGAATTATAGAAAATGGCACCCAAAGTTAAGTTGCCATACAAAGGAAAGGGAAAAGGAAAGAAAGTAGACAGCCATTTTGTGAATGAAGAGGCCCAGAAATGATATAAAGGGGCTATCCAAATAAGAGATAAAGGCTTTATTCCTGAGCGCGGATTGACCGCGAGTCAGGCGCTAGATTGGAGTCGAAGGAGACGATGGGAACTATTTATGAGTGCTCCTGCGCAACCGGCTATAGAGCTACTAGTAAGGGAGTTTTATGCCAATCTCCCGGATTGTGAAGAGGGTTTTGCATTTGTGAGAGGGGTTGATGTGCCATTTACAGAAGATGTGATCAATGAGTTTTATAACTTGCCTGGGTTTGATTAGGATGAGTACGGAAGGTTTAGGGGGACACAGTTTGAGGATAGTATCATTCCTCCGGTCATTGCAAAACCGGATGCAACTTGGTCAGTGTCGAAGAAACAAAAGAAGACCATTAAGGGAACTTCTTTGACACCGGTGGCTCGATTGTGGCAATATTTTGTTAGTGCGAGGTTGATGATGGAAACCCACTATAACACAGTAACTTACGAAAAGGCATTACTGTTTTATTCTATTGCCACAGGAAAGAGTATAAATGTGGGAAGAATTATCTTTAACAACATTCAACATGCCACCAAACCAGGGCGATCAAGTTATTCTTTCCCACATCTCATTACAGCTTTGTGCATTAGAACGAGAGCCAAGGTGGAAGGTGATGAGCAATGTATTCACGCTGCCCCTATCCTCGACTCAGATTATTTTCAGAAGCATCTTGAACGTCCAGAAGCTGAGCAACCAAGGGCAGGAACAAAATGGCAGAGAACCACACAAGGCCCTGTCACATCCTCCAGCTCCACAGCTACACAGAAGGAGATGATGCAACAGATGATGGGTATGATGAAACGGATGGCAAAACGTCAGGATTGGTTGGTTAAGCAGACCCAGATGATGTATGAGATGCAAAAGAGTAGCTTTAACAAGCTCAACGTTGACACTTCAGGATTCCAATGGGCTGACTGGGATTCAGATGAGTGGATGGGCTCAGAGTCGGAAGAGGAAGAAGAGGAAGACGAGGGAGGCGAAGAATGAGCACCGGAACACCTGTTTTGTTTTTCTTTATTTTCATTTGTTTTTAGTTGATTTTTTTTTTCATTTCAAACATTAAACTCAGTTTATATTTTTGTTTTGGATTGTTGTAGTTGTTTTCGTTGTTTCATTTTTCTTGTAATTTGTAGTTTGTGTAAGGACGAGATTAGGTTGTAATACTTTCATATTAGTCTGTAACTTTTTCTAACCTAGTGGACACCACAGTTTCAATTGTTTTGACAGATGTGGGTGATGAAAAGGTCACAGATCGGGTGTGCACTGTGGAGCAAAACTTCACGGATTAATCAGGGAACTATCTCGTACCTTTGTTATTTTTGTTTTTCTATTCCTGATTTATGCGTAATGGGACATTGGGGACAATGTCATCTTTTGTTTGGGGGTAGGAAAATTAGAAAATTTTTTATTTTGTTTATTTTACTTTGTTTTGATTGTTTTTGCCGATGATGAATTGTATAAATCAATGATGCGAATTGGATTATTGCGTTTTTATTGTTGAGAAATGTTAAGCATTGCTTCAAGTTTAGGTTTATTGACTGAATTTTGATTGAGGTTTGTTGAGTGGTTCAACCACCATTTTCGCTTTTTCGGCATGCTTAGATTCATTTTATGTACTTAGGTAAAGTTTTGATAATGTTGGTGGACTTTAGAACCTAGTAGAGAAGTGCTTGAGGCGAAATTCTAGGATTAGCATGGTTGAGGAGATGATTTAGGCATTCTTTTTGGAACGTTTGAGCTTTTCTAGCCGACTCAAGAATGAAATGGTCCCTAGTCACCCGTTTGAGCCGTATGAATCATTATTGCTTTATTTTTCTTGGCTAACCAAAAATTGTCTGATCCTTGTACCCTAAACACTTTGTCGTACCCTTAGGAGAATTCGATCCTAATGCAAACACAAAGAAAGGAAAGAGTTGTACGAGTTGACTAAAAGAATAGTTTGGGAGTTGTGAGGAGGGCAATAAAAATAAAAGAGGTAGTTCACCTCAATTCAATGGATTTGTCTTGATTGTATAAATTTTTTGTTCCCTGCTTAAAAAAAAAAAAATATATATATATTTCTTTTGCCAAGTTTAAAGGTATCTCGGCTGGAAACCAATAACCGCCTTAAAAACTGTCTAGCAGTACTTGACGACATTTGGTTTAACAACGCCACATACACCTTAGACCCATGCATTTATGGTATCAGAAATAAGAAAGATACAAGTTTGAGGGGTGTAAATTAGTGGATACGTTGATTGGTGGTTGAGAAGAAGTGGAGTTCGATTTGATTTGAGTGTTTGCATGAGGAAAACCGAGTTCTCTTACTTTGTATTTCCTATCCTTTTTCTTGGAACCCATTTTTCCCGAAACCTACGTTACAAGCTTACTAAGACCTGCTGATTCTTATCTTTGTCTAGTCCTCATTAGTGAGAGTTTTTCGATATTATGGCTTATGGAGTCTGCCACCATTTGATAAACTTTGCATTCCTACTAAAATAATCCGGGAAGTCGGAAGGTGATTGAAGTGGGGATTACCTACTCGGGGGACCAATTGAGAAAGAAAGTCGATACAACTTATAACTTCTTGGAGTGTTAAACATTTTTCTTTATAATTTTGCAACACACTTTTGAGATTGGTATAAATTCTAGGCAGTTGTTTTGTGAGTCGAGTCTTTTGTTTCTCTTATTAATTTTTGTCAGTTACTGTTTTGGTTTTTGAACGTTTGTGTTTTTCTTTTATCTTGTTTTGGACCTGATGCTCGGGGACGAGCATGTCCTTAGTTTGGGGGTATTTGATAATCTAGATTATACTAGTTATTTAAGCTTTAGGCCGGATTTTAGATACTTCTTAGTTTATTTTGCCTGAATTGATACTTAATTCCTTACATTTCGTGTTTCAGGTTAAAATGGAAATTTTGAGCGGATAAAGGCAGATTTGGAGTTTTTGGACTCAGAAGCATGCGGAGGGCAATTCTGGAATTTCAAAATTCTTTAGGAAACTTCGCGCGTGACGAAATGGGCCAGTGACGCATCAGATTCAGCTCCTTTGTCGCCGCGGCGAGGTTCCTTCTTTGCCACAACGAAGTCTGCGTACTCCACTTTTTGTAAAACGCACAGTTTCGTGTTTAGACTAAGTTGTAATATTTTGGGGGAGTTATAAAGAAATACTTAGTCTTTTTGTTTAGGGCGTTCGTGGAGGATAGAGAAGTTTTTACATCATTTTAGATTCATCTTTGAGTGATTTTTGGATTAACAAAGTTGGAAGATTCGAGGAAACCAGTGGATTCATCATTTGGGGAGATTCTTTTCCTTTCTTTTGTTTCCATTATGTTGAACCTGGAGTTTTTCATTTTTTAATTGTTTTTTGATTTAGCCATGAACTAACCTATTTTGGGTTAGTTTTTGATGTAGTTCGGATTCTAATGGGCTAGAAAGTTGATGATTATTAATTTCATATGATTTTGCTTTGATTGTGTGATTATTCTGTATTTATTGTTTATATGTGATGAACATGATGAGATTGAGAGATAATTCATGTTAAGCTTCTTGGGTAATCACCGTTGTATTACTGGATGCTAGAGATAGATTTAAGAACCAATGAAATCAATCTAAGATTCTTGTGCTTAATGAATTTAGATTTATTAACTTTCATTTTGTTGGGTGCAGAAGGTTAATAGGGAAGAGTAGGACAACATAGCCTGAGAAGGTATGTTGGACACTTTAGAGAGTTCGATTTACAATCAATGCATGAGAATATGAATTTAGTTTAATTCTTAAAGTTTAACCCATAGAGTCCGAATGAAGTCAAAACCGTACCCGTTTGTTTGAATTGATTTGATCCCGTTTTAAATCTTGCTTTCATAGTTTAAGTTTATTTTAGTAAAATTTTGTTTTAATTATAGTTTAAATTGCTCCCTTAAATCCATAAGAATTCGCTTTCTTCAACTTGAAAACGGTAGAAAACTTAGTGCTTAGCAACAATCCTCGTGGGAACGATACTCACTCATCATTATATTACTTGTGCAACTAGTATACTTGCTACATATTGCATGTTGTAGGAAACACGCATCAAACGTCAAAGTTAAGCATCTTTACTAGAAATGAATAAGAAAAAAGACAAGGAGTTTGTTGATAAAATGCTTGCTAAGTGTTTTGAGGTGAACAATATCGCTTTTAATGTTGTTCAAACTGGTGTTTTTGGAGAATTTGTTAAGGCAATGGCTGAATATGGTGTAGCATACAAGCTTCCATCTTATTCAACTCTTCGAACTAAGTTAATTCCAGAATCTAGAAAAGGCGTTGATGAGTATATTGATATGGTGAAGCATTCTTGGGATACATCTAGATCTGGTTGCACTATAATGTTTGATATATGGACTAAAATAAGGCACCGATCTTTCACTAATCTTGTGGCATATTCACCTGGCAGTGCAGTTTTTATAAAATCATTGGATGTTTCTCGAGAAAGAAAAACTAGGATTTATTTGAAAGAAATTGTTGTTTCTGTGATTGAATCAATTGGACAAGAACATGTTTGCAATTCATAACTAATAATGGTAGCAATTTCACATCTACTGGTGACATGCTCATTGGATTGTATCCTCAAATATATAAGACGAGGTGTGCTGCTCATGGAATTCAGCTTCTTTTGAAAGACATTTATGAAGAAGTTAATTGGGTAAAAGTTGCCATAGATGAAGCAAGAATAATAGTTATGTTCATGACACGGTACACAGTTCTTCATGCAGCAATGAAAGAGTTCACCAAAGATAGACAATTGAGACAATCTTGTGCCACAAGATTTGCTTCAAATTTTTTAATGCTTCAATCTATGTTGGATTTGGAGAATGAACTTTGACTCTTTGTTGCTTCATCTGAATGGAGGGGTTTTGATTATTGTAAGACCGAATCAGGTAAAAGGGTCACTGAAATTGTTCAAAGGGATTTTTGGGCTAGAGGAAGGGAGGTTATAAAAACTATTGAGCCATTGGTTCAAGTTCTTTGTTTGGTTGATAGTGATGGATCTACTGCTGGTTACTTATATGAAGCAATGATGAGGGCAAAAGTTGCAATCAAAGAAAGATGTAATAGTGAGGAAATCAAGTATGGGAGATTTGGGAATTGTTTGAGAATCGTCGGGTCAACAACATCATTCATCCTATACATGCTGCAGCTGCCTTTCTCAATCCATCTTACTTTTTCTCACAAAATTTTAGAGAGGATAAGGAGATGAAAGATGATATCAATTTCATTCATGAAAACCTGATTCTAATAGAAGAAAAGCATCCATTTATGAGAGAGGTTCAGTTGTATCATAGTAGGCCAGCTACCTTATTTACTGCAACGGCAAAAGCGATGTTACAAACAAGTCATCCTCGTAAGTGTTTTAAAAACTTTCAATATCTTTTTTGTATATTCAAGAAAGCTTTTTTATGTCATTTGCAGGAATATGGTAGGATTACAATGGGGATGATCTTCTTATGCTCAAGAAGTATGCCATTCGAATTCTGAGTCAACCTTGTAGCGCTTCATCATGTGAGAGAAATTGGAGTGCCTTTGAAGCTGCTCAAACAAAAAAAAGAAAGGAATAGGTTGTCACATGAAATGCTAGACACACTTGTGTATGTGATGATGAACACGATGATGATGGATAAATTCACTTCCACGATGAGTCGTGACTTGGAACCTATAGATCTTGAGAAATTGGGGGAGCTTCTAGACTATGAATATGAAGAAATTCATATGGACGAAGATGCTAATGCTACACCGACAATTGAGGGTTACATGGATGACTTAATGGATAATGATGACATTGCTTGGTTGGATGATGCTCTTTTTTGAGTTGTTATTGACTTATTGTTGTTTATGTACTTTGTGAGTTTTTGTTATAAACTATAATTTGAATCTTGGTTGTATTATTTGTGTATTTTATTTGTTTGGAGCTCTAATTCGACTTTGAATTTTGGTTTTGTTATGACTTATGTGTTTGGTTTGACATTATAGTTGAATCTTGGCTAAATATTGTGTTTGAGTCTAGAGACTATAATTTGAATATCAGTTATATATTGTGTATTTGTGTTATTGGTTAATTGAATACTTTGCATTTGAAATGTTATATTGATTTTAACCAGGTAGTCCATAAAAGTGTTAAAACTAAGATTGATATTGCCGTATTTTTCAAAACGTATTATTGATAATGCACCGTATTAAACCCGTATATACCCGTACCGTATTTTTCCCGTATCCGAATTTTATGGCCGAATTTTTATAAACGTATTTTTCACAGTTTGCTGTATTATACCCGTAAAATTCCCGTACCTTTTTTTTGTCGTACCCATATTTACTAACTAGGGGAGTGAGTCTCATAAATACCCTCACAAGTAGTACAACCTTGTCCTCAAGGTGGGAAGATGGAAATGGTTTACCTTACACCATCCCGCTCCTCCACTCTTTCACTGCCCTCTTCTACTTTACCCAACTTTTCCTCATATTTTATCCATCGTTGGAAAAGGGTTATTTGTAGTTAAGGGAAGTTGGAATCAATCATTTGAAGTGCTGTCGAGCTTGTACTTCGATCACCGGCGGCTGTCGCTGCACTGGACGATGCTTCTTCCCAGGATTGGCGCTCTGGTGATGAGTTTGTGAAGTATTTTGGGTGGTCGGATAAAGGACAAAGTCTGGAGTCGTGCGATCTGTTTCTATTATAAGGGAAATGAACTCTTGACCCGAATTTCCCTGATCTGGTTCCTTGCCCAAGCTCCAAGTCTGCTGGTCCAAGTCCCATTAGTCTAGGCCCAATTTCAGTTTGTCCAAGCTCATGCCCAATTGTATTTGTTTTCCCATGTTTGCCCGACCCAAATTTTAAATCCTCCCAGGCCCAATTTTTTTCCTTCATTCTTTAGGCCAACTCAATTAATTGGACTAATGAGTTAGATTGACCCAATCTCACTTCAACCCTAATTTCAGGTTTCAGCCTACTTATAAAAGAAGCCCTCAAAATTTCTTCTTTCTCTTCACTTAACAGGGTTGAGACAACCTAAAGCTTTTTCTGATCTTCCTCCACCACGCCTAGCTACCGAATAGCTTCATAAGTTCCTCTTGCCTCAGTTTGATTTCCCAGATTTTGGTTTTGAATAGTTCCCAATGACTGTGGAACTTCCAGCGATTTCTCTCGATCTCTTCTCCTTACTTCTTCTTCATCTTTCCTACTCATCCAAGCTTGTATTTCCATCAAACCATCCAGAACAGCACCAATACCTCTCCCAAGTTTTAACACTTCCCTCTCAATATTTCCTATTCTAACTTCCATTCTTGTACCAAACATCCCACAATTGAATTGCTCTGATACCATTCCCAAGCCAGCCAACCACAACAAAAATAGCAAGCAAACAATCGAATTAAACCCAGAAAGCAACAAGAATCAGTTGCCAAAATCCAAAAACACTAGCACTTATATTGATATTGTAGTAACACAAAATACATAGCAACAAGAAACTTAACAAAACTAGCCAAAACAGAAAATCAAATAAACCATAAACCAAAACTAGAAATCAAAATTAATATTGGTTTTCAAGGACCAACTCCTCCCACATAATGCTGGACTTCAAGGGCCAGCAACCTCCCACTCTTCACTTTCCTTTTTTTTGAATCCTCCATATCCCACTGTCTCCCCTTTTATTCTATTCTTCATAATAGAATTCTTCAATCATCCACTCCCTTAATGCATCTGTCCCTCCCTAAACCATCCTTAACACATCACACACAAAGAACCTTCCTGGCTACTACACCAAAATCCCCTACTTCACACCTTAAAGTCTCTTACAATATACCAGCATTAGAAGTGGGTCTCATCAATACCCCCTCGAGCAGTACCACATTGTCCTCAAGGTGGGAAAATGTCAAGATGACAATTGTTTACCCAAACACCACCCCGCTCCTCCACTCATTTATCGCCCTCATGTTCCTCAATTTCTTCATCAGCCAATATCACTTGGAATTGTTTTTCCCCACATCTATGCCCTAGAACAAAGCTAGCATCACATCTAAAACACAGGCCCCGTTCTCTCTTCTGTTGAATTTGCTCTCAGTCATGCTCCTAAAAGGTAAATCCTGTCGATAAAGAAGGTTAAAATCTGCTAATTTTTGCATTGTTGTGCTACTGCTCCGATGACTAGCGATCGACACTGAGCTCGACTGCCTCTCCTCACATGGTCGGTGCTCTGGCAAGGGGTTGATAGAGTGTCACTGCTGATCGACAAAGGGATATGTCTTGGGGTTGTCGAATGAGCGATTGTGTTGTGTTTGTGCCCTATATCCAATTTCCCCTGATCCAATTACCTGCCTTGACCTGAGTCCACTTCTAGTTCCATTCTCAAATTGCTCAAGCCTACACTCAATTTTATTTGCTATTCCATGTTGACCCAGCTCAATTTCAATTTCCCCAAGGCCCAATTCCTTTCCTCCATCATTTGGGCTAATTCCATCCATTGAATTAGGCTATCAGGTTGGGTCAACCTGATTTCAGCCTTAATTTTTGCCCTTAAACCATTCAAAAACGCAGCTACCATAATCTTCTTCTTTACTTCCATCAACGGCATTGAGATAACTTCAAATTTTCACCGATAATCTTCCACTGTGCCTAACTGCTTGATTCCCATGAGAGATTCATACGAGCTTCCTTCCTGTGACCCATTGAAACGATAAAGGAGTGTCAACTTAAAGGTCGACCAAGATGTTACCGAAGCTCAGGCCTCCATCCATTGATATCAATTGACGACATCGTCGTCCATGCACACTATTGTTGTCATTGAGCTTCTCTTGGTCTGAAATTCCATTAATAGCAAAATACCTTTCTACTCTAAATATCCACCCATAAGGATCTTCACCAGAGAAGATGGGTAACTCGAGTTTCCGGCCACCCAGCTTGTTTCGAATTTGTCCACCATTGTTGGAAGTCTCTCCTTCAGTCCAATGACCCATATTTCGACCTTGACCATTTTTCGATGACCTTGGCCTTTCCGGTGAACTTTCTCTTTCTCTCCTTCCCATGTCTTCTTCATCCTTTCTTCTCATCCACGTTTGTATTTCAACCATACACCCACAAATGGTTCCCATGTCAACTCCCACTTTCGTCACCTCTCTTTCCATGTTTTCCAATCTTGACTCCATTCTCATCCCAACCATTACCCAAACAACTTGCTCTGATACCAATTGATAAATACCACTCCCAAGCCAACCAACCACAATAGAAATAGCAAACAAACAATCAAATTAAACCCAGAAAGTAACAAGAATCGGTAGCACTTATATTGATATTGCAACAACACAAAATACACAAAAACAAGAAACTTAACAAAACTAGCCAAAACAGGAAATCAAATAAACCATAAACCAAAACAAGAAATCAAAACTAATGTTGGTCTTCGAAGGCCAACTCCTCCTACATAGTGCTGGACTTCGAGGGCCAGCAACCTCCTACTCTCTACTTTTCTCTTTTATGAATCCTCCATATCTTACTGTCTCCCCTTTTATTCTATTCCTTATAAAATAATTCTTCAATCATCCACTCCCTTAATGCATCTGTCCCTCCCTAAACCATCCTTAACACCTCACACACAAAGATCTTGGCTACTGCACCAAAATCCCTTACTTCACACCCTTAAGTCTCTTACAATAGACCAACATTAGGAGTGGGTCTCATCAGTTTACAATGGTTTAGTTTCCTTGTGCTTTGACTGATTTTCGAGAGTATTACACTGTTTATTTCCCATATTATAAAATAGTGGTCATACAATATTAATTTTGGGCTCTAAAGTATAATACTTCATCTCAGAACAATGGTTATATAGCATTAACTTTTGGGCTCTATACTTTGTTAATTTGGTTTTTACTCGAGTTTCACTGAATGTTTACCGTGGTTTAGTTTCCTCGGGTGCTTATTATACAATAGTGTTTTTCATAGCTATCATGTATGATTGCCAAACTCTATAATATACTATGTACTAATAATAATAACACACATCATAGCCTAAAGAGTTGCAATGGTATGACAAAATACGTACCTTAGACCAATCTAGATCAAACTACATGATTCCTTCCAGAAGGTTTTGCCAAATTTTCATCAAATCTATATTAAGCTGCTCCCAACCATTCACTATAAAGCTATCAATTTTTATCTCTTTTAAGTCATGTTTCCAACGCTTTATATGATCAGAGTTCCAACATATTGAATCTCTATTAAGTTTTTTTTTTTTTCCTCTATATATTAGAGTTTAAGTTGTAGAGTGAACCTATAATTTTGAGATATTAATCTGTGACCATTTCAATTGCTTAATTCTTGTTTGTGCTACCTTTTACACTCCAATTTATTATGAGCTGTCTTAGGAATAAATCAAACTCTAGTTTGTAAATGAATCCTAAAACATTTTCACATTGGATTGGCATTTAAGTAATGTATTATTAAAATGGCAGGTCGCAATTTTTATGGCTTTGGCAATGGTTTTGCGACGAAAACCTGATGCCTTAATCAGTGTTCTACCGACATTGAGGGAAAGTCAAAAGTATCAAGGACAAGATAAACTTTCAGTTATTGTATGGATGATTACACAGTTCAGTGAAAAACAACTATGTATTAGCATAACAAAGGGATATACTTGGAAAACAAACTATGTTACTGTTTTGCTACCAGATTCCCTGACGCCACCTTTCACCTCACCAGGTTCCCCCCAACAAGACCTCTATCATCCCTGACTGTGTTTGGCCACGGGTCACCATCCACTACTTCCTCAATGTCTTTGTGCGACAGTTGTGTATGGGTTTGATTGGAGTATTTGTTTTGGAGT